GGACAGGTCACGCCGCTTTTGCCTCCACGTTTGCACGTCCTTGGTCCAGCAAAGATGTCCGCCTCTACCACCTCTTCTTCCGCCGTGTCCTCAGCCGCCACCCCCGTGCCAAGTCCCATTACCCGACCGGCATATCACATGTGCAGGGTGCAACGGTGTCGTCACGCTGTGCTGCACCTGGTATGCCTTGGCGAACGTAGTCACACAGGGAGGAACTTCTGAGTGTAATGAACAGAGAAATCGACAGATGGCTGTCTCCGCGCAAACTGAAAATCGGAACCATGTTGACCGACAACGGAAAGAACATGGTGTCTGCTCTGCGTCAAGGAAGGTTGTGCCATGCGCCATGCATGGCTCACGTGTTCAATCTGGTTGTCAAGCGGTTCCTAAAATCCACCATCCCACTGCAAGACATCCTTAAAAATGTCACGTAAACTTTGCATGCATTTCAGCCATTCCTACACCACAAAGCACACCTCCTTGAGCTGCAGCGGCAAAACGGAATTCCACAGCATCGCCTGATCTGCGACGTTGCAACAAGGTGGAATTCAACCCTACACATGTTAGACCGCCTTTACGAGCAGCGAAAGGCCATTCACCCGATTTCATGATGTTACAAGCGGATAAAGGTACTCCCCTGTGTAACTTAGATGTCAGCCATTGGCAGCTCATGCGTGACACCTGCCGCTTGCTCAGGCCCTTTGAGGAGGCCACGCTATTCGTGAGTCGGCAGGGACTATGGGATGAACAAACGTCATTCCTCTGTTGCACGTCCATGAACAAATGCTGTTAACAATGGCTGGTCAGGGTGCGGTAGACGTGGCGCACAGATCTCAACGCCACATGACCCCTGTGGGGGCAGGACAGGAAGAAGAGGAGGAGGTAGAGGAGGACATTGTGCTCAGGAATTATTGAGTGAAATGGGTGGTTTTTTCCACTCAGCGTACAGGAGTGGAGGAGCATCTGGTAGAGGAGGAGGAGGAGACAGAGGACCCAGACGCACCGTGGCAGTATGCTGTGGAGATGGAGGCAGGGAGTCCCTCGCATTCCTTGGCACAAATGGCCCATAGCATTCTCGGTTGCTTGCGTAGCGACAGCCAAATAATAACCATCAGACAGAGGGATGACTTTTGGCTGTCCACCTTGTTGGACCCTCGCTACCGTTCAAAAATGGTGGCCTTTTTCACACCTGCTGAGAGGGAGGCCAAAATAAAGTACTATAAAAAACCACCTATGTAGTCATGCAGTATATAGCCCTATATCGGCCACTTTCTGGCATCCAGTTGCTGTAGCCCCCATGTATCACCACACTGTGCCATGGCCCCTGTACCGCCTTCTCATACTGCTGCCAGATCCATCCTCTGCCATGTGCGTCTTTGTCGTCTGCTCACGCTGCTGACGGCTTCCGCTTTTTAACCTAGGCCTGTGTATGGCTTCGAATACTGCTGCCTCCACCGCCACCCTGCGCCATGTGCCACTTTCAGGTCTCCTTACACTGTTGGTGGGTTCCATTTTGTGATAGGGTGCTGTATGGCCTTCCATTGCTGCTGCCTCCACCGCCACCCTGCGCCATGTGCTTCTGTCGTCTGCTCACGCTGCTGACGGCTTCCGCTTTTTAACCTAGGCCTGTGTATGGCCTTCAATTGAAGCTTGCTTCTGCTCCGCCACTCTGCCATTGGACTCTTGATAGTCGTCTCCCCACGCTGCTGCTGGGGGGACTTTTTAACATAGGCCTCTGTATGGCCTTCAATTTTAGCTGCTTACGCTCCGCCACTCTGCCATGGGCCCCCGTACCGACTCCTCATGCTGCTGCCAGGCCCGTAATCTGTCATGGGCCCCCGTACCGACTCCTCATGCTGCTGCCAGTCCCGTAATCTGTCATGGGCCCCGTAACCGACTCCTCATGCTGCTGCCAGGCCCGTAATTAATCTGTCATGGGCCCCTGTACCGCCTCCTCATGCTGCTGCCAGGTCCAGAGTGTGTCATGGGTCCTGTACGGCCTCCCATTGCTGCTGTCTCCATCGCCACACTCTGCCATGTGCCACTTTCAGGTCTCCTCACACTGCTGGTGGGTTCCATTTTGTCATAGGGTGCTGTATGGCCTCCCATTGCTTCTGCCTCCACCGCCACACTGTGGCTTCACACTCTGGTTTTTGGCCCCGTTGACTGACTGCCCAAATGAGTGAAGTGTGCGGTGATTCTAAGATCGACGGCACTCATCTGCATGTCATACTGACTGACAGTATTATTTCTCTTCCCCAGCAGACTCCAAGGGCATTTAAATTAAAGGTACAGTGTTCTGCACTAATATAAAGGCTCTCTGAAGCCTAGAAACACACCCTTTTTATAAGTTAAATTCGCAGCGAATATATTCGGCACGAAGCAAATTTAATCGGCGAATTCGGCGAATCAGCCGAACCGAATGTTTGAATAATTCGCTCATCTCTAGTGTATACAGTGGGGAACGAAAGTTTGGGCACCCCCAGCTAAAAATTTGTATTAATGTGCATAAAGAAGCCAAGGAAAGATGGAAAAATCTCCAAAAGGCATCAAATTACAGATTAGACATTCTTATAATATGTCAACAAAAGTTAGATTTCATTTCCATCATTTACACTTTCAAAATAACAGAAAACAAAAAAATGGCGTCTGCAAAAGTTTGGGCACCCTGCAGAGTTAATATCTTGTACTGCCCCCTTTGGCAAGTATCACAGCTTGTAAACGCTTTTTGTAGCCAGCCAAGAGTCTTTCAATTCTTGTTTGAGGTATCTTTGCCCATTCTTCCTTACAAAAGTCTTCCAGTTCTTTGAGATTTCTGGGCTGTCTGTCACGCACTGCTCTTTTAAGGTCTATCCATAGATTTTCAATTATGTTGAGGTCAGGAGATTGTGAAGGCCATGGCAAAACCTTCAGTTTACGCCTCTTGATGTAATTCCCCGTGGATTTCGAGGTGTGTTTAGGATCATTATCCATTTGTAGAAGCCATCCTCTCTTTAACTTCAGCTTTTTCACAGATGGCATCAAGTTACCATCCAAAATTTGCTGAAATTTTATTGAATCCATTTTTCCTTCTACTCGTGAGATGTTCCCTGTGCCACTGGCTGCAACCCAACCCCAAAGCATGATTGATCCAACCCCATGCTTAACAGTTGGACAGAGGTTCTTTTCATTAAATTCTGTGCCCCTTCTTCTCCAAACGTACCTTTGCTCATTCCGGCCAAAAAGTTCAATTTTAACCTCATCGGTCCACAGAACTTGTTTCCAAAATGCATCAGGCTTGTCTATATGTTCATTTGCAAAGTTTCAAACAATGATTTTTGTGGTGAGGACGTAGAAGAGGTTTTCTTCTGATGACTCTTCCATGAAGACCATATTTGTACAAGTATCTCTTTATAGTGGAATAGAGTACCACAACTCCAGTGTCTGCCAGATCTTTCTGGAGGGATCGTGCAGTCAAACGTGGGTTTTGAATTGTTTTTTTTACAATCCTGCAAGCTGTTCTGTTTGATATTTTTCTTGGTCTTCCAGATCTTGCTTTAACTTCCACTGTTCCTGATGACTGCCATTTCTTAATTACATTCCGAACAGAGGATACTGACATCTGAAAACGCTTTGCTATCTTCTTATAGCCTTCTCCAGCTTTGTGAGCATCAACTATTTTCAGTTTCAGTTTTCTAGACATCAGCAAATGACATCTAGGAAACCTCTGCACTCCAGCTAAGTATGAGTAAAGGGAACCTTTTTTCTTTCTCAGTTGTGGACGGAGCGGGGGTGGATTAGACACCCTGGCAGTTTTTATTGCTGTCCGCGTCCCTATTAGGGAGACCCATCCTCTCTATTCATCTTGTTTATCGGTATTACCAAAAGTTTAAAAAAATCCCAAATTTTAGGTTGTCACCAGAACAGGAATAGAGGGGAAACCTGCCAAAGGGGACACTGGTTCTGGTGACAACCAGGGATTTCCTCTCACTTCCTGTTTTGGCTATGGGAAAGGAAGTGAAGGGAAATCTCCCCAATCAGGCACAGATGACAAAGAAAAAAAAACAGAAAGGTGTTATAATCTTCCCTTACCCAATACATAATGAAAAAGAAACGTTTTGCCTTTAGTTCTGAAATAGCACTCACCTCTGAACAGATGCAAATCCATACACTATGAAATGTGTTTTTAATTGCAAGCGGTTTAAGTACCAACATCTAACTGGGCGCCGGCTTCTTGCAGTCCCCTGTACAGCAGCATTTAGAGTGGGGGAGGGAGGAGCAGGCCAAGGAGCCCATCAGTTGTGCTGCAGTGTTCATGTGCTGACAAGCAGCATGCTGATAGGAGGAGAGATCAGAGTGACGGAGAGATGAGCTCATCAGTCTGCTGCTTCTCCTTTCACTGTCCAGTCACAGGCTGAGGATAGGAACAAGAGCTGCAAATGTAACTTAACTGCAGCAGAGAAAAATTAGGTTTTCTGCACTGCCAGGCAGGGCTGTGCTGTGTGGCAGAGCTGTGTAAATCTTAGGACTGGATGGACAGTAATACAACTACTATGGCAGGTAAAACATCGCCTATATACGTATTTCATCCGGGTACTTACCTGTTTGCCTTCATTTTCATTATTGACCAGGGTGTAGCTTTAAATGCCTCGGGATGCCTTGTTATACAGTGATGTGATTGTAGAGAAGCTTTGGGGTCTGTTGAAAAAACCGCCGGGCCTTCTACACAAATCAAGGCTGTAATTCTCTAATAGATTACATCTCATTATCAGCAGCTCCATGTAGTTGCCAAAATGTGGCATCGTTTTCTGAAATGCTAAATATCACATTTTGGCCACTAGATGGAGCAAATGATCGTAGGGATTACTCTATTAGAGAAATTACAGCCCAAATTTGCACAGCATGCACAAATGTGCTTGACATTTAGCACTGGATCTATGGGGGGGGGTGCTGAGGTGGAGTTTGTGCCCCTAGACAGATTTAAGTTGCACCCCCCCCCCCCCCAGGTCTCTAAGAGTCCATCACTGATCCATGAACCAGTCTAATGGGAGCAATTGCTGTAAGGGGGCACTCTGATGAAGACTACTGATATAAGGGGGCACTCTGATGGGGATACCTGGTGTAAGAGGGTATTCTGATGGGGACCCTGATATAAAAGGGCACACTGATGGGGACACCTGATGTAAGGGGGCACTCTGATGGGGACACCTGATGTAAGGGGGCACTCTGATGGGGACACCTGATGTAAGGAGGGAGTCTGATGGGGACACCTGATGTAAGGAGGGAGTCTGATGGAGACACCTGATGTAAGGGGGCACTCTGATGGGGACACCTGGTGTAAGGAGGGAGTCTGATGAGGATATCTGATGTAATGGACTCACACTGATAGGGGACACCTGATGTAAGGAGGGAGTCTGATGGGGACATCTGATGTAATGGGGGCACACTAAAAGGGACACCTGATTTAAGGACAGAGTCTGATGGGGACACCTGATATAAGAGGGCACCATGATGGGGCCACCTGATGTAAGGGGGCACTCTGATGGGGACACCTGATGTAAGGGGGCACTCTGATGGGGACACCTGGTGTAAGGGGGCACTCTGATAGGGACACCTGATGTAAGGGGGCACTCTGATGGGGACACCTGATGTAAGGGGGGCACTCTGATGGGGACATCTGATGTAAGGGGGCGGCACTCTGATGGGGACACCTGATGTAAGAGGGCACTCTGATGGGGACACCTGGTGTAAGAGGGTATTCTGATGGGGACATCTGATGTAAGGGGGCACTCTGATGGGGACACCTGATGTAAGGAGGGAGTCGGATGGGGACATCTGATGTAAGGGGGCACTCTGATGGGACCCTGATATAAAGGTGGACTCTGATGAGGACTCCTGATACAAAGGGGGCCTAACAGATACTTGTCTTTCCTGGGTCGTAACTTACACAGTGTTGACTTTATGCCCCTGACTTTTTTCTACTGCACCCCCAGCTAAAAAAGGCTCGATCCAGGCCTGATGACCTTCATCCAATAAGTGTTTTATAACTAGACCCCATAGTGTCTAATTGGAGCCTGTGAATATTGATGCAGGATAAGTCGGAGCATACTTACAAGCAATCAATTGAAATGAAAAAATAAACAACTTTTATTAATACAGATTACACGTGGCGGTCCGTGCAACCTCAGTATATTTTATTTATTCAACTTCACACCAAAAAAGGGGTTGGGGGGGGGGGGCAAAAATACAAACTCAGGAAAAGCAATGCAAATTCTAATAAATAAATAAATCCATTTTCATTTTAGTGAATAAATAGGCAGCTCAAGAGCAGCTTTAGGGTACAGCGTACCCCTCTTCTACAAATGTACAAACTCAAGTGGCACCATTACAGTGAAGCCCTTTAGCCACGTCCTCCACGAGATCGTCAGAAAGTCACCTCTAGTCCTTCTTCCAGCCAGAGCTGGCTGTGCTGTCCTAGAATATGACTGTTTAACTTGCTCTCTCCCTCTGTACCACACATCTCCCAACATTCCTTTTTACTTCATCATTAAGGCCAATGTCCCTTGTTCTCAATCATCTAGGCCAATGTCCCTTGTTCTCAATCATCAAGGCCAATGTCCCTTGTTCTCAATCATGAAGGCCAATGTCCCTTGTTCTCAATCAAGGCCAATGTCCCTTGTTCTCAGCCATGAAGGACATTTTTCCTTGTTCTTAGCAATGAAGAACATTTTTCCTTGTTCTCAGATATGAAGGACATTGTTCCTTGTTCTCAGACATGAAGGACCTTGTTCTTAACCATAAAACACGTTGTTTCTTGTTCTCAACCATGAAGGACATTATTCCTTGTTCTCAATCATGAAGGACATTATTCCTTGTTTTCAGTCATGAAGAATATTGTCTCTTGTTCTTAGACATAAAGGTCAATGTCCTTGTTCTCAGCTGTTCAGGACATTGTCCCCTGTTCTAAGCCATTAAGGTAAATGTCCCTTGTTCTCAGCTGTTAAGGTCAATGTCCCTTGTTCTCAGCCATTAAAGAGATTATCCCGTTGTTCTCCACCATTAAGGACAGTTTCCCTTGTTCTCAACCATCAAGTAAGTTCAGTCTATCCAGTGGGCATTTCCTCACTCCTTTCTCCTTTATTAGTGGCTTGGCTCTTTGGGGAGTAGCTGACTAGGAAGCATCGTCTACTGTCTGTGAACGCTCAATGAACCAGACATTGGGACAGACATACAGTATGTATGTAAAGGGAGGTAGGGAACACATTATCCTTATCAAAGAACACTGATTAGGATACAGCAGCGGTTGAAAACAAGGCTGGATAGTTGACATTGCTTAAGTATCCCATATTCAGAACCATGATCCAGTGATGTGCAGATAAAAACATGGCGGCATGACTTGATGGTGGAAGATATGGAAGACCTTGCTGGTACGTACCCAATAATTTAGCACAGGGCAAAGGCTGAGGGAGGAGAGGAAGGGGTGGACAGGAAGTGGGTGTTGTAATAAACAGACATTTGGTGCTTTTAAGGAGATGTAAAAGCTGAAACATCTCTACAGTACAGCGCATCGCTCCTAATACAATAGGAGAACAAGAGTAGTATTCCGATTGGTGGAGGCCTATGGTCAATTATATCTAAAAGATCCATTTGTTGCCTTTCACTCTCTTACTGGCTTTTAAACAGAAACTTAGAACTCACCATTCGGACATTACAGAAGCTTTACCTCCAATGGCTCGCAATTACTATGCAGTTAAATTCATCGTGTCATCTATCGGGCATGTGATCGTATCTGTAGGCCCTTTTTAAGGTTTTTCAATAACAATTTGTAAACAAATATTTTTCTATTATAATATCTCAGCCTTGTAACGGGCTAAAATCTAAATGAGTCTATTATTGTAACCGAGTGCCCCTCTGTGTCGTGGTGGTCTTTTTGTTAGGAACCCAGGTAAGTGAAATAAAATAAATAAAAACACCTTGCATAAATAATGCCTGTTTGCATTAAGACCACTTGTTGTGTATGAGAAGTGATGCCAAACAGTCCTTGGAGGGGCCATGGAAACCAAGGGCCAGATGACTCAAGTCAAGTATCCTTTCCAGCGTAGAGGTTGACTCTAAAAGTTGCAATGAACTGAGGTCAAAGGTGGTAGGTCATAAACAGCTGTCAGATCTTCTTTGCTGTGGAAGGGGGAGGGGTTCCATGCACCATGCACCCACAACTCCAATGCTCCCTATTCCTCAGTTTCACTGGCCTGCACCATGTTAGTCACAGAGGTATACTGACCACCAATGTGCCCAGGACTCCCTTGGCACAGGGGTATGATGTCCTCTTTATTTACACTACAAGGTATTAACATTTTGTTCCTTGCCAGTACTTTCTCTGGGACCATTGACGTTTTATCATCCAGTGGAATGCACCTTTGGCTTCGTGACCACCTTACTCATCGCCAAGGTCCTATTCCCGCGGTCACTGGGTGACGGGAGCTGGTGGCTGCGTTCCATGGTAAGAGCGAAGCAGAACTTTGTGCTTGGTAGCCATGTCTGAGCGTCTCCTTTGCTGCTCCACCAAGAACTCTTTGAGGCGGTTGGTTGTGAAGGTGAGAGTCTGACGCCTCAGCTTCATTAAATAGGCATCCTGAAGCCAAGGGTTGGAGAAGCACTCTGGTAAGGTGGGTCGGCTCCTGTGAATAGGCACATTGAGAGGTTAGTTCCTTTATCATTTCCTGCAGTTTTACATAGTCTAGGGCAGGGGTCTCCAAACATTCTTCTACAGAAAGGACTAGTTTCCTGTGATTCAGACTTTAGGGGGTCGGACTGTGATTGTTGGAAGTAGAAAATGTTCTGGCATCAGTGAGAGTGAATAATGCCATCTTTTGTATTAGTGGGAGGGCTAGTGCCCCATCATTGGTGTCAGTGGGAGGAATAGTGACCCATCATTGATGTCAGTGGAAGAATAGTGCCCCATCATTGGTGTCAGTGGAAGGAATAGTGCCCCATCATTGGTATCAGTGGGAGGAATAGTGCCCCATCATTGGTGTCAGTGGGAAGAATAGTGCCACATTGTTGGTGTCAGTGGGAAGAATAGTGCCCATCATTGGTGTCAGTGGGAAGAATAGTGCCACATTGTTGGTGTCAGTGGGAAGAATAGTGCCACATTGTTGGTGTTAGTGAAAGGAATAGTATCCCATTGTTGTCAGTGAGAGGAATAGTGCCCCAATGTTGGCGTCAGTGGAAGGAACAGTGTTCCATTGTTGGTGTCAGTGGAAAGAACAGTGTCCCATTGTTGGGTGTCAGTGAAAGGAATAATGTCCCATTCTTGGTGTCAGTGAGAGGAATAGTGTCATATTTCTGGTGTCAGTGGGTGGAATAGTGTCCCATTGTTGGTGTTAGTGGGAGGAATAGTGCCCCATTGTTGGTGTTAGTGGGAGGAATAGTGTCCCATTGTTGGTGTTAGTGGGAGGAATAGTGCCCCATTGTTGGTATCGGTGAGAGGAATAGTGACCCCCTCGTTGGTGTCAGTGGGAGGAATAGTGGCCTATCATTGGTGTCAGTGAGAGGAATAGTGCCCCATCATTGGTGTCAGTGAGAGGAATAGTGCCCCATCATTGCTGTCAGTGAGAGGAATAGTGCCCCATCATTGGTGTCAGTGAGAGGAATAGTGCCCCATCATTGGTGTCAGTGAGAGGAATAGTGCCCCATCATTGGTGTCAGTGAGAGGAATAGTGCCCCAAGGGCCAGATAAAGGAAGGCAAAAAGGGCCATATCAAACCCACTAGTTGTAGTTTTGAGACCACTGCTCTAGGGCAGCCGTTCTCAACATGTTTGTCCCAGAGGAGCTCTTGATATATCTTTCTGGTCTCAGAGTTAAAACCAAGTATCGAGGGTCTGTGGTAAGAATTCCCCTTACATTAGTGGCCAGTAGAAAGAATGCCCCCCTTACATTGGTGGTCAGAATGCCACGCTTACAGACATCTAAAAATATCATCGGTTTCATTCAGCCGACTCTGCCAAGTAGCATTGGCCCTGGAACTATGGAGAGGTCAATCAGTCACAGCTCAAGGAACCCGTCAGCCTTTGGAGGAACCCTAGAGTTTCACTGAACCTTGGGTGGAAATGGCTGGTTTAGGGTCACTCTAGCTTAGTGAAGAATCTGGAGACTGTAATGTTAAAAAAAAAAACCAAACAATCAAAACATTCAGGGCCTGAACACACACAGACCCTCATAGCGGGGTCACTAGGTTTTACAGGGGCCATTGCTGACCTCCTTTTAAAAATGCAATCCTCATGGCTGTTATGTTGAGCCACTAGCTTCATGTTCTGAGAAACTGACCCGGAACAAGTATGCAGATTGGGATTGTCAAAAAAGTAAATACCTAAATGCTGGTTTCAGATCGGCGACTCAAAATACTGAAGGCAGAGGGCCGGCACAATAGCCAGGAAATTAGCATTTTCAAAAGGAAAGAGCAGAAATGTTTCTTTTTTCTGGCTGGCTTCCTTTAATGGAAAACACTCCAATCCCATAAACTGGAAGAATCAAATGAAGCAGAACAAAAAATAAAAGTTAACAATCATTAGAGCTGAACTCCAAGAATTAGAAAAACATCTACCGTTGCAGTGGGGCTCTCAACAATGCCAGGGATACATACTTGATATGTCTGGGGGTGCTGGAGAAAGGAGGAATATTTCTCTACTTCTGCACCCCAGCATTGTCCCTCCAGCAGTGTATCCTCTCTCTGTTGCACAGGCTTGTCCTCACCACATAAAACCCTAGCGGCACAAGGGTTGTCTGTTCAAAACCCAACCACGACACCACCTGCCTGGAGTTTGCATGTTCTCCCTGTGCCTGCGTGGGTTTCCTCAGGGTACTCCGGATTCCTCCCACACTCCAAAGACATGCTGGTAGGTTAATTGGATCC